AACACATAGTTCCACGTAGTTTCACAACCACTAGACACTACAAGAGCCAAGTATTCAAGAGCAGAATTACTTGCTCCTGCTTCTCTTGGAGGTACGGTCCTCGTTCCTCTTTGAATGAGTCTCTTCAGTCTTCTTCTTGGGCCATCGAGTAACCGGTCTCTGGAAAGGGTCCGGACTCAGCAAATCCTTCTTCTTTGGATTCCTCTTCGACAACTAAGATGGTTCAGATGATTGAGTTGGTGGAGGTCCATAATCTTCATCGTACTCCTTCCCATTGCTCTCATCCTCCTCGTCCTCATGATACTACTCCTCCTCCCCTTCTTCATGTGTGGCCTCCTCCTCCTCCTCCTCCTCCCCCTCCTCCGCAACCAACCTAGAAGACGAGGGAACATGGCTCGATGAGCCGATGTGACCCTGTGTGGTTGCAGGATGATAAGCTTCAACCGACCCAGCTCCAGCACACCCAAGCAGGCCTACCAGCTTGCGACAACGCTTCACGAACTTCTGCACTCACAATGAAACAAGGGCATAATAAGTATCAGATTTATGATTGCAAGTGAACAAGATGCATCTGTTCCGAGGAGGCTGAAATTGTACCTTCATCGTCCCCCTCACTTTGTTCTCAGATTTTATGCTCCTCTCCCTATTCTGTGATCAACTGATTCTTCTACCGGCTCATCCTGCAAGGCATAGGCCACAAGAAACATCATAATAAAGTCAAACACAATGAAATCATGGGCACGAAGAACAAGCGCACTCACATGTGGAGCGCTTGGCCGTCGGTGTCGGTCAGGGGCCCGGTGGGGTATGCTGATACATCCCAAACTGCGTGGCCACTCATTGTGGCAAGTGCCACTCGACGGTGTACACACAAATCATGCGCACGATGCACCGCCAAAGACCACTATCCGCATCGCACATCACGTTCAGATCAAAGTCCCACTCTCGGTCATGATACGGCCACCAGTTTACCTATTACATGTACATTGGTAAGTTCCCACTCTCGGTCAAAAGTGGAATCAAAGAGAAAGGTGGTGAGCGAGTTCATATACCTGCGTATGCGTCAAAGCATCCAACTCGTTGGTGTAGGTCTTATACGAAGTTTTGTTTAGGCCCGTGTAGAGTTTGACAACGTCCCACTCGTAAGCTATGGTGGGGTGTTGAGTCTCGTCGTCGTCTTTGCTATAGGCACCCCCATGGGCGTCTTGGCATCTTCCCCGGACGCCCCACCGGCAGCCGCTCCCACATCCAAATGGAGAGGGCCCAGACAAAGCCACCCATATTGGACTTGTCTCCCGTCCTCTTGGTTGCATCGTCAAGCTGCAAAGCATCAAATGAGGATCAGATATAACAAAATGTCATGGACATACTTTCGTAGATAGGCAATGAGATACTCTCTTACCAAACAGTATAGGTAGGCGAGAGATGCGGTCCCCCATCTGTACCCTGCATCCCAGTCGGCTAGGAATAACAGATACGACCAGTTGGCAGAGTTCCCCAAGCTGTCTGGAAACACGACCTCCATGAGAAGATACCATAGGTAGGCCCTCGCGTACCACTCCACAGTCGCCTCATCGGCATCTTCGGGGCATGTCTTCCGGTGCTTCGAGAGCCAGGGTAACGATACACCGGATGTACGGTTACCTTTAGCACCGGGGCAGTCGCCGATGAGGGTGGTAACCCTCTGCTACCAGTTGGTCCTCTCCACTCGCCCGGTGAGTGCTTGACCCTCGATCGGCATGGCAGTAATCATCGACCAATCCTCGAGGGTCACCTCATCTCCCCGCATGGTAGATGGAAAGAATGGGTCTCCGGTCCCCACTGGTCAATCAAAGCTGCCAGAGCTGCGCGGACAAGCATCGGCGGCTGATGCTTGAACTGCAACACGAAACCCAACAGTCAGGCTCTCTTGAAGTACGGCGCATAGCGCTCATCGTAGTCCATATTCCCGGCAACCCCATGACTCCTCATGCGCAGTGGCTGGAGCATCTGTCAATCAGAAAACTTTGATCAATATTTCCTTCATATTACTTACCACTCCGTTCTCTATGAAATGGGCACAATGACCCTTGTCAAATGCGTAGTCAAGCATGGAGTGCCGTGGGCCGATGTTGTCCGCAAGAGGTGCCCGCCTTAATAAAATTTCATAAACAAAAGCATCATAAGCATAAGCATACATAAACAAAAAATGAAATTTCTTAGTTACATGAACTAGGGTTCATCTTCCAACATGCATATTCCTCCAACAACATCTACTACACATGATGGATCACATCATATCGGCATGCATCATATCAAAATAAAATCCTCCAACATGCATCATATCATCATTTTTTAACATTTTTTTAAATAGAGTTCATCTTGAATGTATTTTCTCCAAACAATATCTTCATATCATCATACCAACATGCATCATAAAACAAAACAAGTCCTCCCACATGCATTACATCATAATTTTTTTAATAAAAAAAATTATGAACTAGGGTTCATCTTCACACTAACATATGAACTATTGATTAGAGTTCATATTCAATACCACTAGTTACTAAAGAACTAAGAACTGGAACTACAATCAAACTAAAACAATTCTAGGTGAAAAAAAATTCCAATCTAAGTTCAAAAATATAAGGGATTCCAAGCAAATAATGCGTCGAATCGAAAGCAAGTTTGCAAAAACTACTTGGAGGGATCGGAGGAGCTTACGTTTCTCTCTTTGGGGCCATCTCGATCTGCAAAAACGATGAAGAAACGGTGAAGATCCGAGGGGGGAGTGGAGGAGATGAGAGAGGGAGAAAGGGGCGAGGGAAAAAAAAGAAGAAACTGCCGACCGGGGAGGGGGAGGGGTGGGGAGATGGGCAGGGGCGCAGGGTCGGGCGAAATAACTGCTCGCACCCTACCGCCAAGGGTGTACCGCCAGCACCCCTGGCAGTAGGGTGCGACGAAGAGGGACGGCGGTCGTCTCCACGTGCTGACGTGGATTAGTACCCGATCCCTGGCGGTAGGATGTCTAACCCTACCGCCAGCACCCCTGGCGGTAAGAAAAAGGGTCAAATCCCGAAAAAATTCCCAACCGGGGTCAGATCCTGAATTTGTATGCGAGAAGGGTCAAAACACGAAATTTTGCCTCCCCCTGTACTTGTCTCCTGGCAGGAGCCATTGATGTTGATCTTCAGGAAATCTTCACATGGCTTAGGCCAGTGATCGGTACACATGACACCAGTTTGCCTGCTCCTGCAAAAGATATACACATTGTATTATACTCCTATGTACAAGGGCAAAAGAACTACTATTATGCTCGATAAAAAGGTGATTAGTAAACTTGGTTACCTAGCGCAGGGCTGAAGTGGAGACCGCAGCAGGCAGAGGAGACAGGCACTCCAGCAACGACAGCATTGCGCGACTTCCAAAGATTCCATATAAGGGGAACGGAGTGCAAGGAGACATTGGCCTCTGGCTTTTTTTTTTGAACCGGCATTGCCCCTTTCCATTATAACTGAATAACGGAAATACAACATTGGCCTCTGGCTGCAGCAAAGAATCCACAATTCCCAAAGCACGTACAGACCAATGAAGGCCCGAGACAACCAAACATCCAAGACACATACAGCGTTCCCAGGCACACTTGCATCAAGCATCCGCCTCTGGCGCACGCAGGCGCAACAAAGACTCAGAAAACATAAAGACTGAAGCTTTCCTTTCAACACTATCAGCGTGTCTTTACGCTTTGCCTGTATAAGAAAGGCAGCCACTGCAAGAGCAACCCAGCGGCTTTGTGAACAGTCTGTAAAGGAGAAACATGCAGCTTATGCTCGGAAATCAAATCCTTACGGCAACACCAACAGCCAAGTAAGATGTCACTGACAAGCACCAGGTTGGTTTCTCTCCACGTTGTTTTCGTATATTTGCATTTTAGGAAGATATGACTGTCGCTCTCGTCAAGTCTATCCATATCAATTCCTCTGCACTTTAGGTTGGGAAGTGGAAAGGCTATCCTAATCTCCAAAGGAACATGCATATTTTCCTTGGCAATTTTTCGCTCCATATTTGTTCCAACAGCTGGTCGTACATGCAGCAGTCCAGCACTGACGTCTTCCTATCCAACAACAGTAATACTGACATCTCCCTGTCCAAGAATACATCAAAAGGCTCTTATTACATCCGTTGGGAAAAAGAACCTAGCTTGCCCAATGACTAGGTATAAATTGTTCAAAACACAACCGCGAATCAGATTAAAGCCTGAAGCTATAATTAAGTTGCATGTAAGAACAATGCAAGCTTATAAGATTCAGCAACATATATAAAAACTTGTGGCCTTGATAAGGATAAGTAAACAGCTAGCTAGCAGTAGCAGGCATAAATGTAAAGAAGATCGAACAACTTCTTGTTAATACATATAAGCAACTAGCCTATTATTACATCATCACGGGCACAATACAAGTTGAGCAGCTAGCTAGCCAAGCCAAAAAAAAACATCATGAATTAAAGATCATACAAGGAAGGGAGAGTAGGAAGATAACCCCCCGCCTGATCAGTTCGAGCACCACCTCCCCACCCCCTCAATGGACCAGGCCTGAAAGAACCGACTACTGATATTTCTGGGCATTTATTTATTTACTGCAGACCGTAGTACAGGCATTAACCTCACCATGGACAGTTGCTATTGCGATGATGAAGCAAGCAATGTCATGACTATCCTTTGCACATATAGCAATGTCTCCATAACTGACGACCGGAGTCTGTGCTGAAATAGATGTGCAGTGCATCAATATTGTTCAGACCACTCCTTGAATCTCCTGTTGGAGCAAAACTAGCTCAGTGTGAATGCGCCGTGATCTCAATGCACAAATCAATCATACATGCTGGCATGCATTTAAACAAGAAATGGTAAAGGTAATCGTTTTTATAACCAGAGATACAATACAAAATTGATGAACAAATATCAGATAAAATAGACTGAGTTTACCCACCACACCACACCAGCATGGAAGCAATCAATTAAGTCAAGTAGTAATTGACTCCTCCATATCAATTTGCCTACAGTATGGTATGCTAGCAGTAGTTAGCTCAAAAAGATGTCCTGCGCTGAAATCATCTTTGATAAGGCTGATACTGCGCTCCACGTCACCAGTACGCCGATGCGCCATCAGCAGCCAAACGAAAGTAATGAGCTCTCCCCCGGTGCTCAGGCGCCGGGCATGCTCTTCCGGACGGGACTTTCCAGCTGCATAGACGAGCATCCGCACCCACACCTTCTCTAGTATCGCCAGCTCGGCATTGATGCCCTGTTGATTTTCTAGCACCACCGTTTGCTCCTTCCAGAAGCCCAGACCAGGACCCTCATATTCTGAAGCCAACCACTCAAGAAAATTCTCCTTTCTGGAGGCAACATCGGCTGCTACCATAAAATCCTGCACCTTGCTGTTGGAGGAGGAGGCACCCCTGGACCAGTCTGAGGCAGCCGCTGCTACCATAAAATCCTGCACGTTGCTGCTCACGGGTAGCATGGCAGGTTGCGCCAGCAGCAGGTACAACATGTACTCAGATAGCCTCTTGCAGTTATCCATAAGACGCCGCCACCGCTGTGCTGCCTCTTGGTCTTGCTCTTGGACGGCCAGGTCAATCGGGAGCCGACCACTGCTGCTCACCATCATCGACTTCGCCACCTTGTGCATCACCACATCTGTCCAAATGTGTAGCGACAGCAAGGCCTTCTCGAAGGGGAGGACAAGTAGTGATCTATAAGCACTTGGAACGCAGATGCGCTCAGGAAGCCACCCCCTGTCATGACCTATTGTTTCGTGGATAAGCTCCTTCATCTCCCTTGTGATGTGGGCATGCTTGGTGTTTCTTATCTTGTTCCACAGTTCACTAGCTCCAAATACGCCTGCCATCTTTGACATGATGACAGTGCTACTCCACCTTCTGTCCGTGCTTCTGCTTTTGTTGCAGCAGGAGCTCAAGAAGTTGTACTGTCCCATTGAGTTTGACCACCATGGCTTGGTCTCTGGTTGGATCCTCATGAACATAGGCCAGGCCACTCGAGTGAGCAGCACACGACACCATCCAGCTCGAGCTTCCAACAATGGCCACTCCAATGGTGACATGATCATCACAACGAAGAATGAGCAAGCTTCCAAGCAAACTGCTCCAATGAATAATATGTAGGTGATGGCAGCATCAACTCTACTTCTTCTGTAGTCGACATTGTTGTATACTGATGTTGTTTGCTCAGCATAGGCACTACTACTCACCATCATCTTGACATAGAGCACAAAGGCAATCACTATGGAGGCGAAGGAGACACACCGAAGGATGGCGCCAGACCTTGTTTGAATCACCCGAGATTTTGTGTAGAGGCTGTCATACATTATGCTAAGCTCGATCTCCGCCCTTTTGAAATTCAGTTGTGCATCCCCTCTCGGAACCTCCCGATCGTATTGATACAGAAAGTACTCGCGAGTTAAATCGTCCATGTCGAAGAGTTTCCGTCCAGCGAATATATCCCGCACGCCTCGCTCCCTGAGAAGAGCATACCTAACAATTTCTTGATAGGTCTGCTCTTTTCTTTCAGTACTGAATCCTAGTCCAAATTGAAGGGATGCTTTCTTAGCTTCTGTGCTAGTGGAACTCCTGAGGCCTTCCTGGCTCCCCAACTTGAGTGCCCAAATCCTCTCCCCATACTTGATGACCCCATCAACGAACAACAATGCAGCCGAGATTAAAAGTTGGTAGTATGACAATGTTACCCATTTCCACAGCACATAGACAACTAGGCATGCTTGGCCTAGCAGCATCAGCAGGTGCCTCAACCACAGCTCATTGTCCTCCAATGAAAAAGCAGTCACAGTGTCCTGTCCTCCAAGATGGATAAGAAGGAATGGTGCCCACAATACCATGAGCTGATGAGGGGTTTCACTGGGCATTGATTTATGATGATCATCATTGTTGTCTGTGGTGGAAGTGGTAGCAACCTCGCGTGAAAGAAGGCCCAGAGCATATGCTGCAGTGAAATCAGCTGATAGGTAAGACAACCATGTCATGATCCTAAGCAGCCTATGGTCGTGGCGGCGCCGAAGGCTGCCGGAGAAGAAGAGGAATAGTTGCAGGCAAAAGCTCAAGAGAATCAATACATGGATTTCCCAGTCGCTGAATAGTTGCATAATGGTAATGAACTTTGAAGCTTCTGCCATGGATCGACTTACGTACTCTTGGCAATCCTAGGTAGCCGGTTCTCTCTTGATTTGCAACTGCATGGACATCAGCGGTTTCTGATAATTAGATGCAATCAGGGTATGTTCTGCATCTAGCTAGCTAGACTAATTAAGCAAGAAAAATAACATCAGATAGCAGAGAATTCATGACTCATGACTAAAGTACTTTCGTCAAACTACATATTAAGTATGTTGACCGTGCCATATGCATGATGTGGGTAGGTAGGTAGATGATGTCTTCCATCTAGCATATTTTTTAGATTTTTATCCAAAATTTATTTTTCTGGGAAATTCTCGCAGTATTTTTAGGAGCTGTTTGGACATACATATATGCAGTTGAACGGATATATCCCAATCCCACATTTCTACTCTTCCTATCTACCTCTTAATCCAAACGGCGCCTTAATTTAGTAGTATCAGCATGACCTTGCAATGCAAACATAGCCTCTAATTACATGATGCTCAGCAAAAACCTAGCAATATATAATATATGTGAAAATTGGAATTGGTGTATCAAGGCATACCTGTTGGCTGAGACACTGAATACTCCAGTAATTCCGTATTGAGCACCCAGCTCACATGCACCGCCTTTAACTGGATATATGTGTGCCTATCGTATGATCATATCTATTGAATGTTATAGGTGGGATGATTTCATCCGTGTCATCATTATATACATGTGCTCAGATATCATCGAGATACCTAGCAGGTGTTGCAAGCTAGGGTCTTTATTCCTTTCTCTTTTTCGGATAATGATTCCCTTCTCTTTTTAGACAGTGGAAGCATTTATCGATTATATTCCTTTCTTGTACTAGAAGCCATAGAAAAGTCGGGGCACAATTATCTGCATAAATTAAGTGAACTCTGACTAACAAAAGTAAGCCTTCAAATGAAACAAGTTTTCAGAAAAGTACTTACGCATGGTCTTTATTTTCTGTGCAGTGTTCTGTGACCCCTATTTTCGAAACATACCCTTGACCCAACTGTAGTTTGATCTAATATTTTTTTTTACTTGTTCGGATGGGAATAATATTAAAGCATAAACAAAGAGCAAAATTAGATTGGTATTTCTATGATCTGGAGCAGAAGATCAATAGATTGTTTGCATAAGCCTACTGAAGATGTAAGAAAATGTTGTGATAATAAATAGTAGCACTGACTATGATAGGTATTCCAGATCTTGTAGCTTTGCTTTCCTTGGATGCCTTAGCAAGTTGATTCTTGCTCAAAGCAAGAGAATTATTGATCTAGCCTTCTTTCCCATCATCCTTATTGCAAATCCTTTTCCTTTACCTTAGACCCAGATTTCCTCTCCACTTGTTTAACATCCATTGACTTTTTCTTTGCAGGAGATTCATCGGGTTCTTCACTCCAAGCATGACATTTCAGTCTCATCAATTTCCTCTCCCAACGATAAATTCTCAGAACCAGACAACTAGTGTTGTCTTGATCATCATTCCTTTCTCAGATTCAAGTGCTTGCTTCCATCTCTCACTCCTTTTTGGATTATAAAACCAAACATCACTATTCTGGTACTTCATACAACTATACAAGAGTTAAAAGGACTGTCGTGAGACACCACTCTTTTGATCATTGGATAGTACCAATCTGTTCTTGCAAATATAGGTGAAATTTACTATGATATGCTATTGTCAACTATAGGAAGAATATCCAGTCAATATATCAAAAAAATCAGTGGTCTACTATTTGTGTTCCCTTTTCAGAAAGTTCATTTTTCTCTTTGTCCAGAAAAGTACATATAACTATGAAGTACGGAAAGAAAAGGTGAGAAATAGACATGGTAGGGAATACAGAAGTAGAATGGAAATGGAAAAAGGCGAGGCAAGAAAAAAGGTGTTCAGCTACAGTACAACAGAATAAGCTAATAAACATGTCACTTGTTGCGTATTACAGAATTTCGAGTGCTCATATTCTAGTAGATGAAAATGTATTACTCCTTAAACACAGTTTCCAAAACAATTGACAAGGTGGTGTGAGTGTATCATCTCAAGAGGTAGCAACGTCAGTTTCACAGCGAAGTTGGAAATGTTCCTAGAGTCCCAAAGGAAGGTAGCATACACACACCGTGGGTAGTTAGTTTGTGGCAATATCCAATTAGTAATTTCTAGACACATGAAGGTGATAGAAATGAATGACAACAATGCGAAAAAGGGAAGCATGAGTTCTCAGTGTTCTCCAACCAGTTTGATGTGCTAAACGTGTATTCAGAGTCATATACTCATCCCAACTGAGCTAATTACGCTTTATTTTGGGTTCAGGCCACAACAAACAGCTTCAATTAATACTCTTTATTTTGGGTTCAGGTCACAATGACAAGCAGCTTCAACTAACCCAAAAAAGAACTATAACAAAAATAAATGTATTATTATCTTTCTATGTTCTACTACTGAACATTCTGATTAATATTCTGAACCAAATCAAAGAGTAGCATATGGTTCAAAGATAAAATAGTTCATTTTTTGAAGTGAGATCCTGATCCCATTTCTGTTATGATCAATGGAAGTAACAGTGTCCTGCGGTCTTACAACTTGGAACAGGTACATAACAGAGTGATCTCACATACAGCTTTTGGAGAAAACGTACACCCTACTGCTGATCTGTAACAGCAGAAGGTAGAGTAGCATTTGTACACTAGATAGTGTAAATTTGAAATTTTAACCAGGCTGAGTCAACTCTACCTCTTACCTACCAGAAGACATTTAAATAAAGTACCATAAAGACCAGTCAGTACCTCTATAGCCCCAGTCTTCATTGATGGCTTCTGTCGGGCGCAGCCGCACCACCCCCTTGACAGCAACCACTGTGGGCCAGTTCTTTTCGACTTGTTCCACTCTTAGCCTATTCACAATAGAGTAAGCTTGAAGGTATTCTGGCAGAGCTGTCACCTGCAGATAGAGTAGAATAAACCCAGGGCTTGAGATCTCTATACAGTTTGAACAACAATGACAGTAAACATCAAATCTAGAACTGGTAATCTTGTAAGAATTAGTATCAATAAAACAGATACTGCATTTTATTTCCGATAAACCACAAAGGGGATGAGAATATTAGTTTGACTGTGTAAGTTATGTGATCATGCAACAACGGTAGCTACTGTGTTTACTTTTGTGAAGAAAGAAATATCAATACAGCAGCAACTACTCTACTCCACAGAGTACATTACAATGATCAGGACTTCGCAGCTACGAGATCATAAACCGATGTTCCTCTAGGTTTGCAACAATAACAATGATAACAACCAAAGGTGCCACCAACGACATCAAAAAAAGAAATGACTCACTCACCTGGACCATGCCGGATGAGTCGCAGACAAGGTGAGGCCCACGTGGGAGCGGCGGAGGGTGATCCAGCCACAGGGTCTAGGACCAGGAAAGTAGCGAGGCGCGAAGGGCTAGGCGAAGACCAGACGCAGCATTTCATAAGAACAAAGACTGCGACATTTCATCGAACAGGACGCGGGCAAGGGTGAGCTGATGAATCTTGACAAGAGAGAACGGTACGTGGGAAGCCGAATATTGGTCCGGAGTGATTCTGGCGGGTAGTGACAGGTGAAGAACGGCGGCGGAGGCGGAAGTAAGAGGAGGCGAGAAGCTGAAGCGTGGCAGCGGCGGCGGTGGCGGCAGGTGGGAAGGAGGAGAGGGATGAAGCGTGGGAGAGGCACGAGAATGCGGAAGCGTGCTAGGAGGAGGATGCGCGGGAGAGGGAGAGGGAGGCGCCATGGCGGGAGGAGGACGGCGACGCGGAGAGCAAGGAGAGCGCGAGGAGGGAGACTGTGAGAGGCGGAGCGGATAGACGAGGTGTTGGGGCAGGAGGAGGAGGAAGCGAGGACACGCGGTGGGGGCACGGCGGCGGCCGACAGGTGGAGGGCCGGCGTGGCGGAGGGGCCATCGGGCCGGCGGTGAGAGTCGCCGGAGTACATGACGGACGCGGCGGGTGCGAGGTGTGAACTGTGTGGCCGATACGTACAGCGCTGTAGAGTGTAGAGTGTTGTGTGTTTGACGACTCGAGGACTCCCGGTTGGCCGTTGGATCAGGAATCAACGTATTCTTCAGATTCCATTTGAGGGCGATGCTAGGCGCCGGCGCGCCGGCCGAACCGTTTCGGCCGGTCGCGTCCCAGCCGCCCGATGCAGCCAACCAAAGCCGTCAGATCTGCCTTCTCCCCTCCGCGTTGACTTCTCTCTTCTTCTTCTTCCGCGCGCGCCCACCCCGGCCGCCTCCTGCCACCGCCCACCCCTCCTCCCCTCACCTGGACCTCTTCCCCCCCTCGCAGTCCCATGTTGCTGGATGCGCTCTTCGTCCCCATCGCCGCCGATCGCCGTCGCAGCACCCCTCGCGTTCCCCAGCAGGAAGTCGCTGCCCCCTTGTAGCAAAAAACGCCGCCGCCTTGAAGCACGCCGAAGCCCCTCTGTCGTTGCAGCACCTATCAGCCGTCGTCGTCGCTGCGTTTGTCGTGTCGCCGTGCAGCTCTCAACTTCGCCGCTTGCCACCATTGGTGAGTCGGGTTGAAGCTTTTTCTATCATCGGTTGCAGCTTTTCTCTATGCCGGTTGAAACTTTTTTCGCACATTAAAACTTCCGCCATGCCGATTGAAGCTTTTTTCACCCAGGGTTGAAGCTTTTTTTGTAAGGGTTGCAGCTTTTTCTGTGTCCAACATTTTGGTTGCGAAAAAATCCCCCGGCTGAAGATTTCTTAATCTCTGGTTGAAGCTTTTTCATCTGCGGGTTGAAGCTTTTGTCAAAACGGTTGTAACTTTTCCTCTGTTCCATTGTTTGGTTGAAGCTTTTTTATCTGTTGGATGTAGCTTTTTGCGTCCACGGTTGTAGCATGGGGAAACACGTTTGTAGCTTTTTCCTCTGTTCGCAACTCTCCCCGATGCCGCGGTTGCAGCTCCCCCCCGGTCGCCATGGTCGTAGCACGGGGCACCTCGGTCCCCTCCACGACGTTTTGCCTGCCGCCGGTTGCAGCAAAAAAAGGGAGAAAAGAGGAGAAAGGAAGTGAGGAAGAAGGAAGAGGGGGAGGTTGGAACACGAGCGGGGCTGCAACCATGGCCCGACGGGGACTTCGATCTTCCAAGCTCATCCATGGCCGACGGCGAGCTGCTCACGTGCTGCATCAGGGGAGGCGAGAGATGCATGCGTTGTGGGGCGAGATCCGCGCGAGGTGGAAGAAAGCAGAAAGGATAACGTTTGGTGGCCCCCTTGTCTACGTGTCGCCTGGTGGGTGGCTGGAGCAAAGCGCGCGTGGATGCGACCGGCCCAAAGTTCGGCCGGCGCACCGCGCCCAATCGTTTCCCTTTGATGAGTGATGAAACCATGTCTGCGGGCGCCCAATTGGGGATTGGGTTAATCATCTGAATTTTTTTCGTTGAGATGGTGGGGGATGATCAGCTTGCTTGCGAGGTAAGAAAAGGTCGCTCGAAATGCTTCCTGATGCAAAGGGCTTTCATGTTGCCCAGCTGTTCTAGAGTAAGGCCCGCCTCAACTCTAAGGATTGGCTTGCTTTAACGGCGTGCAGCTCGAAAAGCTTCAGATCAACACTCCTAGAAGTTTGGGCCTTCTTTGGTTTACATGATAGGAATAGGAAAAATATAGGAAGTGAGATGGCATGCATCTCGATTCTTATAAAGCATTTGATGCATAGAATAGGAATTATTTTATTGAGTGTGACTAATTTTTTTTCTTTAAAATGTGAAGGATTGCTTTCTATCCTGCATGGGAATAGAAATCCATTCCTACAATTCAAAGGCCTCCATAAAAAAAAATTTCTTTGGAAATCCTATCCTATAAGATTTCTACAAACCAAGAAGGCTTTGAATGTCAAAATTGATGGTTCAATATAATATGTATTTAGAGGTGGAACTCATGTTTTGTTTTTGATCACTAAATCCTTGATAGTGTTGTTTGCAGAAATGGGTGTCAATAAGTATTTAAAGCAACAAGGGAGGTCTCAGATTGATGGTCAATTTTCCCTTTTTGGTGTTGTTTCATCGAGGTTTTTATTCAAAGAGTTGCAATTTTCATTCTTTTCATATGACTGATGTCCTAAATTAGTAAGAACTTATTTGATTTGATAATTGCATGATCTAGGTATTCCGTCTTATGGAGTTGGAGCTTGCTTACACATAGCTGATATGTTATTAATACTAGTAAAACGTCCGTGCGTTGCTACGGGCTATACTGTATATAAATGAATCAGACAAATTATTGATATTGAAGCTTATTTCTCTCTCATGCACCAACCTTAAGGTCGACGGCAGGTTCCCATGATCTAGTGTAGCAACATAAAAACTCCACCCCATGACACACCCTTATGTTTTCCTGTCGGACCCTCCCCTTCCGCTCGGTTTTCGCCGTAGTGAGACATTTCTCGCTGGAGCCCTCTCCTTTAAAACGGGATGACGCCCACCTCACCTTCGCCATCGCGGCCTCTCTCCTTCACACCATACTTCCCCACGAAGGGATTGCATTTAGACGTCGAAAAAAATCGATGGCGAGGGAGTCATGGAGGAGGGGTAGAGAACGAACCGGTGAAAGCCAAAAAACCTGCGTACAATGTTCGCTCTACCTGGGTCATAGAGGAGTCCCCCTGGTAGAGGAGTTTGGGGAGAAGAGGACGGCGACGCGAGGACACGTCGGGAGGATCGCAAGGAAGGCACGCTGGTAGAGGAGATTAGAGAGAAGAGGATGGTAGCGCGACGACGTCGGGATTATCGCGAGGAGGGCAGGCGATGGGAGGATTGCGTTCACATACACGTTAATGGGCCAGCCCATGCTGTGATGTGATGATGTCAAAGGTGGGCGAAAGATAGGAGTGGTGGGATGAGGTGGAGTGAGGCGAGACTACCAACTAAGACATTAGTAGTAGAGATTACCGAGGGTTGGTATAACATACATAATCCTTATGGAAAATGTTAGGCCGAATCTTTGAGTAAGTGAATCTATCTTGTAAACTCCATTGCAGACCATGCATATACATTATTCTCCAGAAGAACTGGTGCAGATTATTTAAAGGAGCTTGATATCCCATATCCCATAGTCCTCGTGTAGTCTTGTATTGAAAGATATAGGTATGTAAGATAGTTAACTTGGAATGAAATAGATAATAAAATGGAAAAGAGAAGAACTGAAATGACGTAGAACTTCCAGTAGGGTCACATTTCATTACTCAGACTAACCAAAAGTTTCAGAACCGAGTTCTTGGAGCTCTTTGTCTTTGAGGTCATCATTTTTTATAATCTAAAACGTGAACATTTGGTTGGTAAAGAACATTACGTGTTAAATATGATATGTTATAGCAAGCCTAATATCAGGACCACCTCTCATGGGCACAATCAACTCCCTAAAGTTTTTTTATCAGATGCATAATGCACATCACTTACCGAGGAAGATTTTAGCCTCTTCAACTAACAATCGGCATCCCTTGTCAAAGCTCACACCAATGCACGTGTAATCATTCTACACTTTGATTGATAGACTGAAAATAAATACACAAAAGATAGGAGCTACTCATATTCAAACTTCTGCCACAAGCTCGTTGATGGTCATGCCCCTTCAACATGTTCACACATAGTGCATCAAAAAATAATATTCCTCCAACCAGCCCGTACAGAATGCCTCAAATTGACATGATAAAACAAATCCAGATTGCATTATTCATTGAAATTATAAAAAATAAAAACATCTCAAACCAATATGTATGTAGAACCTGAAATTATATCTTAGGTATCAAAACGACTATACAACCTTCCAAAAAGCGAAGGAGGACCATACATAATACAATACTCCTTTCCAGCGCTTTACGTCGCCCGCCTCCCAATGCATCCCTGGTCATCTCCATGGCCTACAGGAGGCGCTTCACCTACAGCAGAATTTCGAGATAGGAATCCCTTCTTCACCTACATCAAAATTTCGAGATCCCAACACTATCAGGCTAATACAAAGATCCATGAGAAGTGTGAACACACCAACATCTTCGGGTATGCATGGACCGTATGGGTAACTGATTTGGGAAACGTAGGCGGCGATGCTGGCATGGCCGATGTCACATGATGCATCTATAGTGAGACCGGCGGCGGCCAGCAGCACCGTGGCGGCCTAATTCGATAAGCCCGGCGGTCGAGTACCTGGAAGGCCAGTAGCCCACGCCCACGACGTTGGCAAAGTAGCTCGGGATGGCAGCGGCGAATCGCTGGGTTACCCGTGTCAGTGACCTCGAGGCGCCGTTGGCGGAAGGGGAGCTTGTTTCCACTGTCGCAGATCTCCCATGCGACATCAATGGTCGACAGCATCGGTCTCTCTCGATGGACCGGATCTTTCCCTGTCGCGGTATTCGGGGGAGAGGGGGTAGGCAGTGCCAAACAGCGGAGGGAGAGGCTTGACCTGGCAGGTTCTTGATCGGTTTGACAGTTCTTTTTTTCAAGGATAGCTGAATGCCCTTGCGTTGCTATGGGACATCCAAGATATATATATTGATCAATAACCATAAGGTTATTAATTCTACTTCACAAACTTCGACAATGCATGCACATTTTAATTTTCGATCAAAAAACAAAGGTAACAAACTCCTATAACAGTGGATAAAATACAAGAAATCAGTCTAACTAAAAATACCATGTCTACCTTAGAACGTCTATAATATCAATAAGAAGTCTGCTACAAAACCTACTAACAGGTGGAAAAGGGGCAGCTAGTATCTCTCCAACAAACAAAATCATACCATACAAAATAGATTGCCTGCAGTCAATAAAATAGTAGTAGGGCATCTGAACAAAAAATACATAGGGAAAATGGAACATGTCGTTTCAAAGATTACATCAATCCTGTCAATGTTAACCACAATACTGAAGATAGGCCATAATGGCCACATGACCATCTGCACTGTACTGATAACTGAACTGCGTGTCTTCATTGCTATCATTATAGATTAACATATTTAATTGTTTCAGCACAAAGGTTCCATAATGTCAGGGTAAATTCAAGAATCTTCACACGCACTTAATAGACCATGTAATAGCATGTTGAAAACTATGCAGGAAAAGCATGGTTCCGAGATACTTAAGTCTTGAGGTCAGTCCAGTCTTACCACGAAAATGAAAAGACCATATGATGTCTGGTGCAGCTCTCTATTCATCAGTAGAGAATCCTTCGATTTATTTACATGAAGATTCTTATTGGGCATGGCTGCATCAATCCGAGTATATATATCTGGATGATTGATTCCACACATGTGGAGCAGATATTGGAGATTATTAAGATTCTAGTTTATTCCAAACTTTATTTATTTTTATCCCAGTTCTAGACTTCTAATGTCTGTGAAAGAAGAAAATCTTGACCGGAACACAAAATGGCAACAATAAGAAAAAGTTATCACCGGAGCAATGCAGTTAAGAGTTCTGGATACCTTTCAGAAAGAAGTGACATATATTAGCATACTTTATCAGAACAATTCAATCTGCAAATTAGCAAACATGGACATTCCGGTGCATAGTAGTACGAAAAAGGTGAAAAGCAAGTGAACTGTGACACAATGTAACAGCTGAATCAACAAGGACATGTTAGAATGCGAACATATTGGAGATGAGAATTCCATTGACCTCTTGTTGGACTCTTCAAATTAGATCACTGATGGGACTTCCAGCAGCGAGGCTTCCCCACGGCAACGCATCTTTCTGGCTATTGTAGCTCTGGAGGATTATGCCATTAGTAGATAATCTACCAGGACCTAAGGCTTCTCCATCCGGCCACGGCTGCAGCCACGTCCACATCGCCGTGGATGCTCCGCCATATCCGCCTGGACGATCGCAGGCTCTTCATCACCAACCTCTTGTTTAGCCACGATGCCACGGTGGCCACCAGGTGGCTTGAAGCCACAAACGACATGCTTGAGCACACATCGTGATGTTGGGGGCCACACCCGACGGTGACACCATGCAACGCGTCATGGCGGCGTTCATGGAGGCGTTGGCGCGATGCTAGCTCCCGGCATGGGCTGGCCTGTGCAGGGCACTGCTCCTACCTCGTGCGGCGCCCACACCACCATCGCACCCTATACCATGCAATCAAATTGGCAGATAGAGTGCAAAATAATGGAACAAAATTGACAGAAAGATGAACAATGTGCAAGTAGCAACCTCAAAATACGAGGACTACTCGTTTTGAAGTTTCAGAAGAGTTAATCTCAGAAAGCTTCAATTGAACGCAAGGCCGAGTAGCAATGTACCCGGATCAGCAGCCTGATTTTTAGATGGTGTAGCTGGCAAATCTTCAAATCTAGTCCCCAAGAAGGAAATCAAGAGCAGACCGTGAAGTTAATATACAGAGCTTCTAGAAATCACACATTCACCTACGTCCAAAATGAAGCCTCCACCTACCAAATGTCCCACAGGCAGTATGTAAGGCAGCGGAATGGATGATCAAATCATAAAACACAATCTAGTATTTACCAGCGATTCAGTATCCTGCATGTCGGATTGGATCTCAGAGAGCCTCTGCTTCATCTTGTCTTCTTAGATCTCACCATGTAAGACGAAACCAACAACCTCGAATAGAAATAGGCACGGGAAGAGATGGTGGCAATCTTGGCGAAGACCTCGCAGACGCAGAGTCGCAGTACTGGCGCTCGTAGCCCTGGAACACCTCGCTGCTTATGATTGCTCCTCTTGATCGCCTTTCATGGCATGCATTAAAGATAAATGGTAGCTAACCAGACCTGGCCGCTGCCACCGCCGAGAGGAGGTTGAGTAGTCAGCTGTTTGCGTAGGTGAAAGCTGCTATGTACGTCCTTGATCCATCGCCCGCCGTCCAGGATCGACCCATGCACATGAGACAATACTGGGCGCGCATCGAAGCAGACTTCATGGCTATGTCCCGGATCCACCGCCCTCTGTCCTGCTTGACCCATCCACATGAATCAACACCGGACGCACCGGCTCGTCATCGATGCCGACGAGCTGTTTCATTGCGAGGTCAAGGGGGACCGCGGAAGGGCCGCATTGGTGCCGGTGCTACGCGCTACTCGCTAGCGGCGTCAACTGGGAAGGGGCGGCTAGGGTTTGAACAGGGAGGAGGAGACACGGCTTGCGTGGATTTTTCGTTGCTTGCGTGCGTGGGTATGACGGTTTTGCTGGTTCTTTCGCCGGATCACATGGGGGTGGGACCACGTAATTAAGAAGAACGAATCACGTTTGGGGTGGAACATACGCAGGGAAAACCAACAGCGCACGGGAGGGAGGCTAGATGAAGGGTTCGACGACGTAAGACGGGAAACGGAACGCTGCGTTTCTTTTAGGTATTATAGGTAATTGCCCGTGCGTTGCTACGGGAGCATCCAATCCTATTGTTCTACTATGAATGTATATCTTTATGGCACATTCTTGTTGTTCTAACATATATCTTTAGGGCACATCAGGCCACACTGTTGA